AATTACAAAATATAAATTTATATTAATATCTAAATATATTTATATTAATATTTAAATATATTTTTCATTGTAGCAGATTTTGAGAATGAACGATTTTATATGAGATATATATAATTTTTTTTTGAGATATACATCAATTCCCTTTATTGGTATTCTTTTTGTCAAGTGTTTTTAAAAGGAAAATTTTCAAAAATTTCTATAGTAAATCGATTTTTTGTTTTTTGTATACACAAAATATAAATTTATTGCAATATATATATATATATATTTACTACCTAAAAAGTTGTCACACATATAATAGGAAAGCTGTCCAATTAAAAATTATTCAGTTTGAAAATATATAACAAGTTGTCACACATTCAATTAAAAATTGTTCGGCTTGAAAAAATTATCCTGAAGTAATGTCTAATCACTAATGTTTTATATTTTATATCTACTATATATAATCTCTCTCATAAAATTAGTGTGATGTAATATTTAATGTTTTGTATTATTATACATATTTTTGTAGATATACACCAATTCATTTGTCCAACTGTTGTATAAATTATTATATTATAAATAGATCCATCTTAGACTTCCATTTAAGTTCCAGCGGCACCAGTTCCTTCTGTTTTGGGGTTCCATTTAACAGTCATGGTCAATCTTTTTGTATAAAAATATAGAAATATTAGTGAATATTATATAGCTAATCAAGTATAATCGATATTAAACTAGCAGCTCATTGTCTGACTGCCTAAGTAAATTATCATATTATAAAAAGATCCATATTAGGATTTCATTTAAGTTCTAGAGCACCAGTTACTTCTAATCTGAGGGTTTCATTTAAGATCATGGTCAGTCTTTATGTGCGTTGGCATATTATTAAATAAATCGGTTCTTCGCAACGACCGATTATATGTTGTTGTTTTTACGTGTAAGTAATAGATAAGAGATGTGCATTGACATGTTCCTAAAAAAAACTTTTTTAATCACGACCAATTGTATGTTGTTACGCGTGTAAGTAATTAGGTCAAGAAGAGTCAAGGTCAACATTTATTGTACGTTGGCATGTTAAGTAATAGATCAAGAAGAGTCAAGGTCAACATTTATTGTATGTTGGCATGTTCTTAAAGAAATCGATTTTTAGTCACGGAAAATTATGTTGTTTGTTTCGCGTGCAAATAATAGAAAAATGTTGAAAATTTTAGTTTGTGGGGATGACGAGTTGCTCAGTTATTGATCAAATAATGTTGTGTACAAGAAATCTTAAATAATATATTTTTTTTGCATGAAGAATATTTTATAGTTTGATAATTTTCCTACGAATTATCACTCTTTTATTTATTAATACATTTTAATTTTTAATATTCTCCGAAGTAAATACAGCCCGTGCATCGCACGGGTTACATACTAGTATATATATATATATGACTTAATATGTTTGTGGTGGGTAGATATTTAAGTCATTAGAATGAAAAATATTACTAAAAATTTGAAAAATATTAAAAGCATTGTATGGTATTTTAAGATTTTATTTTGAATTATTTTGAAAAATTAGAAGTTATATATAATATTATTTTTTATGTCTTATTTGAGCCTATTTTGCCTTTTCAATTAACTCAAAAAGTAGGCCCCATCTCATTTCATTCTTTGGCTTCGCCCCCACATAATCTGAAGTCACATAATCTGAATACAAGTCCGAAAATACGGACATTGACATAATTCTAAATTATACTCAAGCATACTAGGTTTAAACATGTTCAATAAAACTAGATGACATGTTTTCTAAAAAAATATTCTCGCTTATGACCACCACGTGCTAGCTTACGCGCCACGCTGGACTCCGTCACCTAAAAAAATAGATAGTGGGGGCCTGATCATAAAGTCCACGTGCTCCGCAGAAACCGACACTGAATATACATCAACTATAATAATCTATCATGAAATAAGCATATAAGCAACTAATTGTTCTGATACTGATACTGATATTGATGCAAACTACAAACATCCAACTTGTTAGGGAAATCATGTGCACACTCTGGGTGGCATTGGCTGCCAGAACCTGGATGGTGGCCTTGTGCCTCCCAACTCAGGCGATAATTAGTTGCAATGACCTACTCGTAGGTCGTTGCCATTGGGCAAAATCTTACATATATACCTCAGACATGGTCAACGATTATAAGTGATGAAATACCTAGGGTCTCCACCTGATAGCTGAATGCACATGCTGGGTTTGAATTGGTAGCTAGCGGATGCTCGACTCTCCTGAAGATACAAAAATGTTTAAGCGAATATATACTAAGTATTCAGCTCAACTTGAAAAACTCGGTTCTTTAATAACTGATTTTACTAGATTTGCTCGCTCGATATTAAAATCATTTAAAACTCATTTTCTGGTTTAAAGGCTTCCCGACTTAATAAAATTTACAAGCTAAGTTAAACAATTTCTGTCTTGAGGCTGTTAGGGTTCTCAGATAATTTTCTAAGTTCGGAACTAATTTATCGGACTTGAACTTGGACTGAATCAGCTAGAAAAAATGGTTAAGTTCCGAATTACTCTGAACTCGAATCAGAAATTTGAACGGCCCGGGCTTGCCTAGATCGGTCTAGCTGAATCAACGACTCACTCGTGAACCAACCAGTGGCTTAGTGCGGCCCGACTAGGTCACGCGGGGTTAGGTTGCCGCGATTGCTGGCAGCACGCTTGCCGACTCGTTGGGCGCGGCCTTGCCGGCGCACGGGTTCAAGGTGCCACGGCCACTAGCGCAAGGGCGCGCTGGACCCTGGGTGGCGGGACAAGGATGCTGATAGGTGGTGGGTGCACGGCACGTTGGCAGGTTCACGACATTGACGGGCGCACGAGCGCGTGCAGGTGGTTGGTTAGTCTAGATGGAATACTCTTCCAATTACTTAAATAATATTGAGGGCTACTAACATAATATTATTGCACTTCCTTTTACTAGCCCAAATTACATTTGAGACTCCACTAATAATTACCCCAATTACCTCCCCATGTTTAAGATATAATGTCCATTAATTAATTCAGTTACTGATAATTTAGAATTAATTAATATATTATCATTTCACCGAAGCTAGTGCTCGTTCATCACATTATTACTATGCCGAAATTTAATCAACCTGTAGGGTTTAGCATAATAATCCTTCATGAACTCACTTCAGGGACATCATCAAACTAAACGTACATGGTGACCGTAAATATCCAAACAAGACATCATACATGCAACAATATTACCCAAGACAATAAGAATATTAGTCCAGCGAACTGAACCTAACCCAAGTGAATATAATAATATATACTGTATATATATATGTCTGTTTAATATCTTACGGGTTAAGAGAACACAATAATTAACTGAGGCCTAGTTCGTTTACGAAGATCAGTTTAAAACGAACTTCTCCTCTCTGGGATCTTGTTCAATACATAAATATACTAGTGCAAGTAATCAGTCAAGACAAACTGTACCGTTGACACTACAACTGTTCGGATGGGGTGTTCATTTTCATCTAGGTTGTAAATCACAATTCTTGTTCGCCCGAGGACAACCCATTCTATCTAAGTGCAAAAACAACAGAACATACTACTTGTTTAATCTAACATGATTCTCATTCAAAAAGGATAAAAGTGTAATATCATTCAAATCCAATCTTTTAGTATATAACACCAACCCGTAGTTGTCGTTTTGGTCCAATTAATAATAAAACTGAACTAATTTTCTCATCTAGGAGATGAATTTTCACGGGCTGTAATCTTTTTCTTGATGTTTGTCATTATCTCTGAGTTCTAAGTTCCCGTTAAAGATCTCTTCTCTGTGATTAGGGTTTTTTGGGCCTTTTTTTTTTCAAATGGAGGCCTCAGGATCGGGTGTTCCAAATTCAGAAGGCTTGGAAGAGGAATTAGGCAGACTTCTCCAAAACTTGTCTCTTTTGAAGCTGGAAGCTTGTGTTATAGAATTAGGCCTTAGGAACTCAGTTGATGATCCCAAAATTCAAACAGAGAGTTGTGGGGAAAAAGCTCATCTTGATCTTCTTTAAAAAATAGAACTTGAATGTGGGACATGTATCACAAAAGCAAGATTTGCATTATCTGATGAAAATATGCAGAAAGGAAAACAAATTGTTAACGACAAAACTTGAAAAGAAATATTAATGTTGGTAAAAATGATTATGGAAGATTGAGGAAAAATCAAGGAATTTCCAAACAAGATTGTTCTAAATCAGAGGCCCAGATTGCTAGAAATTTAATTGATATGCTCTAAGAAGAGGAAGGAACTTCTATATCAATTGACAGAGTTGCAAGAAACGGAAATCGCCAGGTAACAAGGTGGTGGAAACTAGCCTTAACTGGCCCCGTATTGTCCAATGAAGGCTATCATATGGAACTTTAGAGGTCTGGCTGTATCCTGTACAGTCTCCCAAGTGAGGGAAGCCATTAAGTCTCACCACCCTAATTTTGTCTTTTTGTCTGAAACTAGAAAAAAACAAAAACTTCTCAAAAACAGTAAGCAAGAAGTTAGGTTTTGTGGATAAGTGGAAATATGTGGAATCCCTTGGCTTGAGTGGGGGCCTCCTTTTTTTTTTTTGGTCTTCTAATGTGAAGATAATTCAAATTTTCTGTAACCAGTTTTGTTTTGAAGTTGAATTGAAGGACCTAAAAGGGTGAAGAAACTCTCTTTGGCTTATTATGGTATATGCTATTACTAACAAGAGAGAATGATAACGACAGTGGGACTTTTTTAGGGTAAAAGCCCAAGTGGGGTTGAAATTGGGACCAACGTAAACGGTTAGGTCAGGTTAGGCCGTTCCAGAAG